CTGAAGGTGATGGTGACGAACCAAGCTTGATATATTACCCGAGATGATGAAGAGCAAGACAGCTCTAGCGAGGTTAATTGTTTTCACCAACGAATATAGTTACGTAGGTCAATTATCGTGACTTCGTATTCACGTTGAAAATATTTTATTTCTAAACTTTGATATAGGACGATGAATCAATCTCCGAGAGTGATGATGATGAGGAAAAAGAGAAAAACAATACTGGCGATTTAACGAGTATTTAAATATGCAAGATTATGGAGAGTTTTGTATTCGTGTTAACAATATTTCGTTGTAAACTTTGATACAGGAGTATGAACCAAACTCGGAAATCGATGAGAAGGAGGAACAAAAGGAATACGATGCTACAGAGGTGAGTTATGTTTACGAAGTGTTTAAATAATATGCAATCGATTATGGAGATTTATGGAGATTTTTGTATTCGTGTTGACAATGTTTTATCGTAAACTTTGATATAGGGGCATGACTCGACCTCGGAGTTTGATGAGGTAGAGGAAAAAGAGGAAATCGATACTAGCGAGGTGAGTTATGTTTACCGATTATTTAATTATTGTAGACGATTATGGAGAATTTTGTATTCCCGTTGACAATAAACTTTGGTATAGGAGGATGAAGAAGATACAGAGTTGGACGAGGAATAGGAACAAGCGGAAAACAACATTAACGAGGTGAGTTTGTTTTAATTATCGAGAGTTTAAAATATTTCTTTTTTGTAAACTTTGACTTAGGAGGAGGAATATGGCGACACCGAGGCTAGTGATGAATCGGGAGTCGGATAATGAGGAAGAGGACAACACCAATAGTGAGGGTAAATTGTATTTAACGAATATTTAATAATGCAATCGAATATTAAATTATGTTTAACGAATATTTAATTGTGTTTACCATTCTCGTTGATCAAAATAATATGCCAACTTGCTTAAATGGTTTTATGGCATATTTTATAGGCTGAAGGTGATGGTGACGAACCAAGCTTGATATTTTACCCGAATGATGAAGAGCAAGACAACTCTAGCGAGGTTAATTGTTTTTACCAAGAATTTAGTTACGTAGTCAATTATCGTGACTTCGTATTCACGTTGAAAATATTTTATTCTAAACTCTGATATAGGACGATGAATCAATCTCCGATAGTGATGATGATGAGGAAAAAGAGAAAAACAATACTGGCGATTTAACGAGTATTTAAATATGCAAGATTATGGAGAGTTTTGTATTCGTGTTAACAATATTTCGTTGTAAACTTTGATACATGAGTATGAACCAAACTCGGAAATCGATGAGGAGGAGGAACAAGAGGAATACGATGCTACAGAGGTGAGTTATGTTTACGAAGTGTTTAAATAATATGCAATCGATTATGGAGATTTATGGAGATTTTTGTATTCGTGTTGACAATGTTTTATCGTAATCTTTGATATAGGGGCATGACTCGACCTCGGAGTTTGATGAGGTAGAGGAAAAAGAGGAAATCGATACTAGCGAGGTGAGTTATGTTTACCGATTATTTAATTATTGTAGTCGATTATGGAGAATTTTGTATTCCCGTTGACAATAAACTTTGGTATAGGAGGATGAAGAAGATATAGAGTTGGACGAGGAAGAGGAACAAGCGTAAAACAACATTAACGAGGTGAGTTTGTTTACCGAGTATTTTAATTATCGAGAGTTTAAAATATTTCTTTTTTATAAACTTTGACTTAGGAGGAGGAATATGGCGACACCGAGGCTAGTGATGAATCGGGAGTCGGATAATGAGGAAGAGGACAACACCAATAGTGAGGGTAAATTGTATTTAACGAATATTTAATAATGCAATCGAATATTAAATTATGTTTAACGAATATTTAATTGTGTTTACCATTCTCGTTGATCAAAATAATATGCCAACTTGCTTAAATGGTTTTATGGCATATTTTATAGGCTGAAGGTGATGGTGACGAACCAAGCTTGATATTTTACCCGAATGATGAAGAGCAAGACAGCTCTAGCGAGGTTAATTGTTTTTACCAAGAATTTAGTTACGTAGTCAATTATCGTGACTTCGTATTCACGTTGAAAATATTTTATTCTAAACTTTGATATAGGACGATGAATCAATCTCCGAGAGTGATGATGATGAGGAAAAAGAGAAAAACAATACTGGCGATTTAACGAGTATTTAAATATGCAAGATTATGGAGAGTTTTGTATTCGTGTTAACAATATTTCGTTGTAAACTTTGATACAGGAGTATGAACCAAACTCGGAAATCGATGAGAAGGAGGAACAAAAGGAATACGATGCTACAGAGGTGAGTTATGTTTACGAAGTGTTTAAATAATATGCAATCGATTATGGAGATTTATGGAGATTTTTGTATTCGTGTTGACAATGTTTTATCGTAAACTTTGATATAGGGGCATGACTCGACCTCGGAGTTTGATGAGGTAGAGGAAAAAGAGGAAATCGATACTAGCGAGGTGAGTTATGTTTACCGATTATCTAATTATTGTAGTCGATTATGGAGAATTTTGTATTCCCGTTGACAATAAACTTTGGTATAGGAGGATGAAGAAGATACAGAGTTGGACGAGTAAGAGGAACAAGCAGTATACAACATTGACGAGGTGAGTTTGTTTACCGAGTATTTTAATTATCGAGAGTTTAAAATATTTCTTTTTGTAAACCCGACCTAGGATGAGGATATGGCGACACCGAGGCTAGTGATGATCGGGAGTCGGATTATGAGGAAGAGGACAACACCAACAGTGAGGGTAAATTGTATTTAACGAATATTTAATAATGCAATCGAATATTTAATTATGTTTAACTAATATTTAATTGTGTTTACCATTCTCGTATGAACCAAACTCGGAAATCGATGAGAAGGAGGAACAAGAGGAATACGATGCTACAGATGTGAGTTATGTTTACGAAGTGTTTAAATAATATGCAATCGATTATGGAGATTTATGGAGATTTTTGTATTCGTGTTGACAATGATTTATCGTGAACTTTGATATAGGGGCATCACTCGACCTCGGAGTTTGATGAGGTAGAGGAAAAAGAGGAAATCGATACTAGCGAGGTGAGTTATGTTTACCGATTATTTAATTATTGTAGTCGATTATGGAGAATTTTGTATTCCCGTTGACAATAAACTTTGGTATAGGAGGATGAAGAAGATATAGAGTTGGACGAGGAAGAGGAACAAGCGTAAAACAACATTAACGAGGTGAGTTTGTTTACCGAGTATTTTAATTATCGAGAGTTTAAAATATTTCTTTTTTGTAAACTTTGACTTATGAGAAGGAATATGGCGACAACGAGGCTAGTGATGAATCGGGAGTCGGATAATGAGGAAGAGGACAACAGCAATAGTCAGGGTAAATTGTATTTAACGAATATTTAATAATGCAATCGAATATTAAATTATGTTTAACGAATATTTAATTGTGTTTACCATTCTCGTTGATCAAAATAATATGCCAACTTGCTTAAATGGTTTTATGGCATATTTTATAGGCTGAAGGTGATGGTGACGAACCAAGCTTGATATTTTACCCGAATGATGAAGAGCAAGACAGCTCTAGCGAGGTTAATTGTTTTTACCAAGAATTTAGTTACGTAGTCAATTATCGTGACTTCGTATTCACGTTGAAAATATTTTATTCTAAACTTTGATATAGGACGATGAATCAATCTCCGAGAGTGATGATGATGAGGAAAAAGAGAAAAACAATACTGGCGATTTAACGAGTATTTAAATATGCAAGATTATGGAGAGTTTTGTATTCGTGTTAACAATATTTCGTTGTAAACTTTGATACAGGAGTATGAACCAAACTCGGAAATCGATGAGGAGGAGGAACAAGAGGAATACGATGCTACAGATGTGAGTTATGTTTACGAAGTGTTTAAATAATATGCAATCGATTATGGAGATTTATGGAGATTTTTGTATTCGTGTTGACAATTTTTTATCGTGAACTTTGATATAGGGGCATGACTCGACCTCGGAGTTTGATGAGGTAGAGGAAAAAGAGGAAATCGATACTAGCGAGGTGAGTTATGTTTACCGATTATTTAATTATTGTAGACGATTATGGAGAATTTTGTATTCCCGTTGACAATAAACTTTGGTATAGGAGGATGAAGAAGATACAGAGTTGGACGAGGAATAGGAACAAGCAGAAAACAACATTAACGAGGTGAGTTTGTTTACCGAGTATTTTAATTATCGAGAGTTTAAAATATTTCTTTTTTGTAAACTTTGACTTAGGAGGAGGAATATGGCGACACCGAGGCTAGTGATGAATCGGGAGTCGGATAATGAGGAAGAGGACAACACCAATAGTCAGGGTAAATAGTATTTAACGAATATTTAATAATGCAATCGAATATTAAATTATGTTTAACGAATATTTAATTGTGTTTACCATTATCGTTGATCAAAATAATATGTAGCATCGTAGTCCCCACTATATATGATTATGATAATCATTGGGGAAGATCTTGATCACCAAATGGAGAAACTAAGCTTTCAACGTAAATATTGCTTGCTAATATTATTTCATCAACTCGGTACATGCGCGACTTACTTTTGTAATTATAAACAACAACAATCGATTCACCAAAAGCCACTCCAATATCCCCATTCTTGTTCATCCATATTGGCTTTGGTCTTGGACCATTGTTATACCTCTTCGGATGAGAAAAATCAGAAAGTGTCCAAATCTTAGTCCATGTTTCTTGATTTGCCTCACTGTACTTGTTCATAACCCATATATTTACATCCAATGTACTACTAATACCGACGAAACTAAGATAGCCTCCCAAAACTTGCAGAACTCGTGCGTGCATTAAACTCATACTCCAAAAAGTGTTTAGGTCGAGCCACAAATTCAAACTTTTCTTCCACAAAACTAAGAGAAACAATTTTCCAGCGATCACACTTCTCCGCTGCTTTCCAATCCATCGTTTCCCAATAAAACTTTCCTTTCACAAATATGCCTTCACTACCAACACCCAATGCTCGATTCTCTTCCAAGAATCGGTCTTGAGACTGTAAATCTTTGTCTGATAGGGTTCCGCACAGAAGGAAGTGCAGACAATCTTGTAGTCATCGGTAGAATCATCGTACCCGAAACCGTATTGGAATTTGTGGAACAATGATTTTTTTGGAAAATATGTAGTTGGAATAGACTTGAATTTTCTTGTTGAAAGGTTCCAAAGAAATATATCTTTAAAGTTAAAGGTGACGAGTACTAGCCCATTACATGAACCTATGATCCGAATGCATATACTCGACGGACAAATATTACAACCTTTCGTGTTCTGGCTGAATAAATCAGGGTTTCCGGGATGATTATCCAATGTTGTGATCTTGGAACAACCCTTTTTTGGTTCATGGAGAAAAGAGTTAAGAGAACATGACCGTAGACGCTGACGGGTATAATCAAATCCACCAGAGCTACGGTTGTTAGGGTTAGTGTCGAAAGAGCTATAGATGAGGTGTTGACGGTTGAATTGCATCGATTTCTTGAGATGCTCTTGGATAAAACTTTTGCTGGAGATAACAGAGCGCCATTGTTTCGAAACACACTTGAATCTAATCAGGGATTTCACCGGCAAATTCGTCAATATTTCCTCGATTATTTCTTCAGGAACTTCGTGGTTGATGCTCTGTCTCTTGATTCGTTTTCCCATTCTCTGCGATACAAATCCAGTCTTTATCAAGGAGAGATGAGAATTGATCTCAATTAATAACCTCGAAATTTCACCCCCCAAAAAAATTAAATCTTTGTCAAAGGAGATTCATGATATATAAAGACGCGATAGGTGGATCTATTAGAAACAGACAAAAGGATTCAATTTTATTTTAATTCTAAATCTGCGAAGCAGCTGAATCAAAATGGAATTCTATTTACCTCACCACCAATGCTAATTAGATTTTTACATAAAAAAAATATATTAAAAAATATATATTGCAATGACAACTTACTTAAATTTTTTTTAGATATTTTGAAGAAAATCTCTGGTCGGGACGGAGGCTGGGTGATGTAGATGGAAAGAAGAAACAGACAAGCACAATAAAAAGGGAACAAGGGCTTGGGGTGGGTGCAAAATAATTAACGCATGCATGAGACACTATATATATATATATATATATATATATATATATATATATATATATATATATATATATAAATAATAATTAATAATTAATTAACAAAAATATATATATTAAGAAAAAGAGAGAGAAAAGAAAAGGAAAAACGAAAAAAAAAAATGTAAGTCAGCTAGAAAAAAATTGTCTTTGTAATATTTCAATTCAATTTTTTTTTTCTTTTAACTATTCAATTAATAAAAAATAAATTGAATACTATTAGAATAAATAAATAAATTTTATTAATTATTTAGCTTCAAATAATTGTACTAAGTAACTGAATTTTTGGAGTTCAAAGTTTATTTCACTCCTGAGTTTTTTGTATGTGATTTCAAAGTTTTCGATTCTTTTTATTATTAATAAATCAAAGAAACTCTGATTGTGAAAATTTACACAAGAAAACTCTCAAATTGTAACTTGTAGAGAAAAATAAGTTCAAAATAAATATATTAGTCTATGGTTGACTAGTCAACTGAGAGCGCAATTACACTACCTTAAATTACACACGCAAAAAAGAAGAGAAAAAAAAGAAAAGAAAAAGGCATAATATATATTAATCCGTTGCTAAGCAAGTTGGAGCTACAACATCCACTTCCCTGTTTTCTTACATTGTCTCTTCCATGCCACGCTTGCGTTTGGAGACCGGTTCTGCACAGGTTTTTTCGGTTAACACGGATAACTAGCAAGAGCATAGCCAACTTTCGAAATTGATCTATCTAATGTGTGTTGTTTATATACGAAACATCTTACTTCTATGAAACATATGGCACAATCCGGCTATAACACTTTCGCCATGTCTGTCATATTTCAAATCAATGAACAGAAGAAGCACACGAGTAATAACCTGTATCAAAATGATATAGCAACTAAATGTCATGCCGAAACTTGATACACGGAAAACAGTGAACTATTACACCAAAGGAACGATACATAAATCTTTAACCAAATAATTAGAAGACAAAACACTAATTTAAAAAGTCACAGATAATTCAAATTCAATGGTTCGGAAGACTTTTTCCATTGCCAAGAGCATTACCTCAAATTATTTTATTCCTTATTTCTTCCAGTTTCTTCAAAATCTCCCCAGGAGTTCTATCCAGCTCATCGGCAATTTTACGTTGCATATCCATTGGCAAAGTTGGGAACTGCTCACACAAATCTCCATCAATCACATCCTGCAAAATCGTCGCAAACCTTCATATCATCAGCCATCGCAAATAAAAATCAAGATACTTCTAATGCAATATTTATGAAGAAAAAAAAAGTCAATATTAGTCAAAGCTGCATCCAATTTCAATTGCTATAGACTCAGATAATATTAGCCCCTCAAAGACATTCATAGTCATGTTTTAGTCTACCAAGACACCATCCTCGAATCTACAAGAAATAATGAAACCATCATCTGTCGGAAACACAGACAATCAGAATCAGCTTTATGGATAGTTCACTAATTTATTTCTGTATCCAAAATACAAAATGCCCTCGTTCCCACAGCAACCCCAAAAAAAATTAAAAAAAAAACCCCGATATGTTAATTATCGAAAGAACCCGATAACTTGAATATGTAATACCCAAGACATTATGTTAAATATAATCAAAAATAGAGGTAACTGACCTTCACAGGGAAATAGGAAGATCTGTAGGCCATGTGATCTCTGCCACATAAAGGTGGATGCTCCTGCCTCATGTGCATCTCCAAATGGGAGAAAAAGTCAACATCATCACGCGAAGCGAATGGAAGAAAGGCGCCCAAACTGCCCATTACCGTTCCGTATAAAATGCACTCTCCACCGCCTGGAATCAGAGTTGCCTTATACAAGCAACTGACAACATCACCGACGTGGAATTGGACTATCTCCTCTACTTTGTTTGGAGCCCCATTTAACTTCCCTTGCTCCCATTTAATCTTACCACCAGTTGGATCTTCTTCGATCTCGTCTGACACATCCTGTGGTAACCGTACGAAGAAAACGTTTCCGAATTTGTCTGTGCCTGCCATTGTGTCAAAGTCTATGTGGTGTGCTGCAGTGAGCCATCTTGGAACAGTGTCATCAGCAAATATGTACAGCTGGTTTTCATCACGTCTGTACTTGCAGTAGTGGAACGACTGTGACAAAATATAAACAAAAACAAATGCACATAAGTTTTCAGATTCTAAACACGCAATATCAATTGATATTAACATACTGCACAAACTAAATTAGGAACCACTGCTAACTTTCTAGTAGGTCAATGCTTCCACAAACCTTCTGTAAACTATGTTTGCTTCTAATGATTGATACCACTCTCTGGGATATCTCACTAGTTTCACCCCACATTTAAAAAAAAAAGACTTCGTTAACCGAAAAGGAAAGTTTTCAGAACTTTTACTCCATATGAAAATATGTGCAAAACAAAAATGAAAATTTCCAAAATATTTTATCCTCAAATTCCATGAATTGCTCATGACAGGAAAATTTAACATTAAAACGTCGCAAAATGCATAAAAATGGAAGCTCAAAAATCATTTTAACAATGATTTAGTCAAAATAAGGAAAAAGATGTGTCCCTCCGCATCAAAGCCCTTAAACTATTAACAGTGGCAAACATTAATAAGCTATATGCTCAGAGGAAATACCTCTTGCATATCACCAACAAAGATTCGATCACGGTAAGTGTGGATAGAGGTGATAGAGTTCGGAAACAGCTTATTCTCACACTTCCTCAGCAACCTCCTTTTCCCCAAATCATACAATCTGAGTATTGGTCCTATCCCAGCTAGCAATCTCCCTTGGAATTGGCACAACGCAAGAGGAACACCTTCCACTTGAGTCTTGTGCAGAAGTTCAAGGACCTTTCCATCTTCCTTAAACCTATATATATGGATAAATCCAGCTTCAAAGGATCTTTTGGGCCAAAACTGCAGGCCCTTTGCTGTACCAACTGCTAAAAGAGTTCCATACTCCTTATCATGGAAATTTACAGTGCACATGCTGAAGGCAGCTTCATTGTCCTGAAGCTCCAGTAGACAGGTCGTTTGTGCTGTCCTTGGATCCAGAACTCTGATGCAAGAAACCCACTTTCCAGACTCTGCCTTTGGATAACCATACTGTTCATCGGAAAGTGGATCACTGTTATCCTCATCGTCACCATTCTCTATCTGATTTGCGTTCCCATTTTCTCCCATTCCAGCCGCTTCAAATGATTCTTTTTTCGCAGCTTCACGCTCTTCTGCAGTAAATGCTCCCTGGTCACTCTCAATTGTTACCAACAGCTTGCGTTTGGGGTGAAGTACAAACTTTCTCGGGGTATACCTCAAAGGTATAGCAGTTTCGTTAAACGATTCTCCCAGTCTCTCAATGGTGAAAACCCTTAAAGCATCACCAGCAACAGCAACAACACCTTCTGCACACTGATCTGATGAAAATGAAGCAGCAAATTCAAGAGTCTCGTACGACAGAGGTGTCAGGAGGAAGTGTCCTTGGTGTATATAACCGAGCCAAGGTCTACTGGACAAGCAAAGCATAGCCCTTCGCCCTCTCACAGCAATAGAGAAGAGCTTCGGTGCTCTGAGTCCTAAGAACCGAGAGCGGGCATCTGAAAGCTGACCAGTCACCATATCCACTACTGTCCTGAATAAGACACCATTTTGTAGACCAGCATTAAGAAAGAGGCTGGCAGGGTGATCTGCTCCATCCTCCCCTCCAATAGAAGCCTGGACTTCAAGAAAGAGGAGAGACTCAGGAGGAGAAGAAACACTTTGCAGGCTAAGAATCTGCATACAATCATCAGGATCCAAAGATAAGATGCGGATAGTATTGTCGTAAGATCCAACGGCAAGGAACCGTGATCTCTGTCTTCCTTCAGGGACAGGGGCAATATCCAAACAGGCAACATCTCCTGACATTTCATGCTTCTCAACCTCCATCAGCTGCCCAGTCATATCAACTTCAAAATATATAAGCTCCCCACCACTCAGAGCAATGACAACCTGAAGTCTATTAGACCCAACCTTAACAATCGTTCTCTTCCCAGGAGTTCTCCACTCGTTAATACGCCCGTCTTCTCTGATATGTCTAATCCCGCTTGGATGGACTTGCATTAGAGAGTCATCCCCAATCAAAGACACGGAGAGGGAAGGTGTTGTGTCGAGAAATCCACTATCACTAACTTCTTCAACAGTCTCACCGATGGAAAGCACAAGAGTGGCATTTGCGAAAGAAACGACAATATAAGCATCAAATTCATCGTTGACATTCTTTTTCACTGTCCAGACAGCACTTGGAACACCAGGTAACTGTGACACTGCCATTTCACTGATAGCTAAACCTGGCCTCAATATCCGGAGAGATGACCGAGGACCACGTCCGCAAAGTGTAAATATCTGAGGGGTTTCTTCTTCAAAGAGGTTTGAAACTTTCATATCCATCATCGACATCAAGCTCTCAACCTGGTCAATCCTGACTAGATTCTTCAGTTTCCTCGGCTGGAAAAAAACAGGTTGAAAACCTTCTTCGGTTTCCATCAGTGTAGCCGACGAGGCCTCTACATCTGGATCATCTCCTATAGCCTGAAACTGATACAAGGCATGGTTCCCAAACTCTGACGCGGCAAAAAGGAACCCCGACTTCAGCACACATAGCGAAGAAGTCACAGGAATAGTATCAAAATACTTGATCTTCAACTCTTTCACTCTATCATTATCGTGGTCCAACGTCACTCTAAAAATATCACCATACTCAGTTTGCAGAAGAAAGAAAAACATGGTTTTCTGCTTATGCATGGCAGCAGAGACAATCAACACCCCACGCTCAGCTGGCAGGTCCTCTCGTCTCGGAATAACCGCTCTTACATCTGGATGCCCTTGATTCTTATATATAACAAAATTTTCCGCACAAACGAGCACACCACTCGGTCCATCTCCACCACCAGGCACAGTCACAAGCAAATTAGCACCATTATCAACCTGCTCGGACCATTTCCTCGAAACATGGTTAAGACCCAAATCCAATTCATAAAAGGTCAATAGCTTCTGCGCCTCGTTGGCTGCCTGTCCAGTGGGATCCTGGTCAGCCTCGGAATAATCCAATTCAATTGCTGCAAATATAGGGTTGTCGAACCCACAATCAACCCCACAAATCGAATAAACTATAGTGTGGCTCTTATGTGCCTCAAGAGGCGACGAAATAGTCAACCTAGCCGAAGTATCCCTGTTCAGAACATAAACGAGCTTCTGCTTCTCGCAAGCACCAATCATTACAGCCCTACCCTTGGGGTCAACGGCCAAGTATTGACCAGGGACAATCCGCCGGCACCCAGATTTACCAAAAGTTTCCTGGTGAATTTTTTCGAAGGTGTTCTTTTCCTTATTGTATTCGAGGATAACAATGCGCCCGGAATCTGAGCCGACAACGATGTAGTCTTTCTGCGCGCCGGTGAGGCGAAATTGAGCTAAGGAGCGAATAGCGCCGAAGATTTCAACAGATAGAAGGGATTGGAGCTTACCATTTTCGTCGGGGCGGAGTAGATCGAGGACTTTGCCACGCGCGACAACTATTTCTTGAGATTTACCGCCGGAGAAGTTGCCGTTGATGGCGCAAATGATTCCGGTGGCTTTTTGAAGAGTTAGGCTGTACAAGTACATGGTGATTGAAGAATTGGTGAGCTCCGAAGAAGTGAAGTGAAGAAGGGAGATGGGGTTTCTGAGAAACCCTAGGATTTGGAATCGGGGAGCGCGAAAGAGAGTGCAAAGGGGAATTAAGGGTTTCTTTAGGGGTTTTGGACTATAAGACCGCGTTTGGCCGAATATTCAATTTATTGTACTTTAAATTACCAAAAACTCCTTATGGAAATTGTCTTTCCTTATTTTTCTTGAAAATTATGTATAATATATTAATATTAATGTCTATCTATTTTCTACATTTAATAAAGAGAAATTTAAATTCAAAAAATAATTTCTTTTTCCACTAACAAAAATTAATGTGTATGCTATAATATATCGAAAACAAGAATTTTATCAATCTACTATTTAAAGTCTCTCCTTGTTTTGAATGTCATGAAGATGTATCTTCTCCGGTGGCCGGAGGAGTCTCGTCCGTCGGTTCGGTGGCAGCCGGAGAATCTTTCTCCGGTGAATTTTCGCGGCTTCCTCCTAATTTGCGGGCCCGTCCCTGGGAACCTTCTTTCTTTTTCTTTGCTTTTTTATGCCAGTTCATTAACGCCCTCGAAGTTTGCTCATCAAAAATTGCCGCCTTCATATGCGATCCCATCTGAATTTTTATTTTTTTTTGCCGTATAATAAATAAAATGGCAAAATTCAAGAACAACGAAAAACGACGCATAGGGGCAGAATGGTCATTTTGTCGGTTGAGAGTATAGAGATTCTTTGAGTTGTACCTGTGTCACAAGTGCATAGAGTGGAAGGGTAATGTAGCTGCACAAAAACTGAACTCCAATCCTGCAAATACAAAATAAATGACTTTCTTCATGTTTAAAAATATAAAATTATATATATATATATATAATAAATAAATAAATACACACAAAATTTAAAAGTGTTTACCCAATACAGATTCTAATAACGGCTAGAAGGAAAAAGCTATGGAAGCAAGAATACAACCCAAATTCATACTGCATATTTAAAAAAGAAATGCATTATTATTTTTTGTAATTAATTTGATAGCCGTGATATAGAAGATAAAGGGTAAATTCGGAAGCGAACTTCGTTACCGTTATCCAGATGAAATAAGTTATCTCAAATGCATTCTGTAAAATCAGTAGAAGAAACACGAAAGCGAATTAAGAATGCATACATGCATATGGTTCTATATATAAATATCGAGAAGAGAAAAAAAAGGAGTGTGGAGTGGAAGTAGCAATTTTGGACCTGGAAGAGGGTAAGATGGATGAGATGAAGAACTAACTCAGGCCAATTAAACCAAAAATGCTCGTCCGAGACTTGCACGAGTGGAATCCCTTGAACTACCGCATGCCTTTCTTGAATCTCGATTGCCATTCGAGTTATGATCGATTGTAGCTTTGTGCCTACTGCTAAAATTATCTTTACCCATATCAAGAATCAGTTTTTTCTTGTCTTAATTTCCACTATTTAATTAATTAATTTAATTTGTGAATATAATGCGACGAAATTAAAGATAATCGTACCACTAGGGGCATAACTGACAGCCAAAACATAGCTTGAGATCCTGATCAAGTCGAAAATGCAAGATTAAAAATTTTAATAATAAACTTTAATTAAAAGATGCTTCACATTTTTTAATCGAAATGGGAGGAATTACGAGAATAACCATTAACGTTCACTAGCAGATATACGACTGCAGCAGTCCATAAAAGAGGCCTGAGAGAGTATAATCAAGAAAATATATTAAGTTTTTCTTTTTTCAGACAAGAATATTAAGAATTAATATATTTTAAGAGAGAGGCGGGAAAGAAATTGCATACGGGATTCCGACGATCACTTTGAAGTCATCTTCTAATGATCTTTTGATGTACTTCTGAAAGTTGAACTTAGTTCCCGGGGCCAAATGCACCTAAATTTGTTCGCGTCGCGTTAATTTAAATGTATCGTTATTTTATCTATATAAATATTCAATGTAGTTAAAGTACTTACTGAGATGAACCCGTTTCGCAGGGTCAAGTAGTCGGCTCTGCGAACCGACCATAACATGTGCCGGAAAAAGCAAGCCTAACGTATTCGCGTATATTAATATATATATATATATCAAAACTAGTTTCTTGAATGTACTAAAATTTAATTTATACTGTCTTGATTATACTTACAATGTAGAAAAGGACAGGGTGTTTTGTCCATGGACTAGTATGCCCTTTCACAAACGAATCCTCGTGCGTAAGCCTAAACTGAGCAGAATCTTTTTGTACGAAAACAAACACTAATATTATTTATCTTTTCGAGCCAAAACAAACAAAAAATTACGAGAACAATACGTACCAATGGATTCGTTAGTATTATTTGCAATCTCTCGTTCCCATTCTTTCCATTCACGAATCTGCGGCCCCACAATAGTATATCAGGAAAAAAAATTATATATAATTATGAAATACGAAAATTGAAAAATACCTTCATCCTGCCGAGCATCATCGTTATAGCGCTATAAAAGACGTGGAATATAGCAAGAAAGAATATGAAGATGTGGAGCTGATGTAGACCATTGACAGATATAATAGGTATATGACCCTATTACATATATTTAAAGAAAAAAGAAAAAAAAACATAAGATGCGTGATAAAACATGATTAACTAATCGATGATTTTTGTAAGAATAAATTAACGAACTCTTTTGCATGATCTGGTTGGACTATCGGCGGCCAAGATTCGATGTTCGTACCACAGAAGCCTTCGGTGGTGGTGATCTTTATCTTTTTCATGGAAATGTCGTTTCAAATGTGCGCATGGCAACATAGTATTCGCTATTCTTACGGGAATGCAGATTCGTGTTATGTAGTTTTGTCCGAATGTCAGAAGTAACGAAATAAACCCCAGAATCATAAGCTCTGCCACCGGGTGATTACATATGTAATTACGGAAACTCGTGATTAGTGGACTTTTTTAATTATGCTTAAACGAAATGTTACGTATGGATGCAATAATCGTCTCACCTGATTTAATCTTCTCCAGAGCTTCGACTAAAGCGAACTTTCTTCTCCTTGATAAACTCTACAAGATTTAGTAAACGATCGCGAAATTACGATTAAATGAAATTATATGCCATGTTAAATTTTCGTCACGAAAATTCCGAAAAAAAAAATGTAATTCCTACATTCCGATTTTCGTTCTTGAAGACAAATCTAAATTAAAAAATTGTGAAAACGAATAAAAATACCTCTCTGATTTTATGAAGGGTTTTTTCCAAAATGATGGAAATAATAACGATGACGGAGCAAACGAAGGAAACGGCCCATGTCGGAGTCTGGTCGAGCTCCCTCGAACCGTGGGTTCCTCCTCCGGCCATTTTTGTTTTCCCCTCTCTTTCTTTTTGCAGATTAATATCTATCAAAAAAGAAAGAGAAGAGGGAAAAAAATAAAAATAAAAAAGAAGAAAAAGAATTAACTAATTAAAGTTCCCCTCTCCTTGGGTTTAACGTTTGATGAATATGAATGCCAGGAGAACTCTGGTTTGAAGAAAACAGGGGTGACCGGTTCGAGGTCGTTTCAACTGAATTGAACCGGGATTGTACGGACTACGGAGATTCGTTGACCGTTGAAAGGGAGGTAGAGATTAATTAGTAGGTCTTTTAACTTGGGATTTATTATTTCAACTAACCCTTATTACATTTCATCAAATTGGAAATCAATAGTTTTTTTTTTAATATATACTTTTTCTTGGCCAAGGCCCTTTTTAATAATTACTAGCATTTTTCACGAACATTTCAAAAGTGAAAACAAATAAGTTTAATACATGAAAATTACAATTATAATAAAATTTATTAGTGATATCAGTAAGAATATCAATATTTATATAAATTTAATAATAAAAACTTATTATGTACAAAAATATATACATTTAATTGTTATGATATTAAATTGATTTTTAAATAAATAAAGTAAAGAAGAATTAGAGAAAAATAGACTAAATAGGAGATAAATATAATAATAACAATTAGAAAAATAGTAAATTCCACTTTACCTCTTGTACTATTAATTGCATCGATTTAGCACCGTGTACTTTGATTCGATATCACTTTACCCCCTTCTACTCTCAATTCATTGATTTACCTCTTCTACTTTGACTCGAAATTATTTTAGCATCGATTTAATAAAAATAATAATAACAATTAAAAGGTTGCCATAATTGTTGGCCCACATTTAAGTATATGATTTTTGTAATATTTAGCCCATTTGTTCCCTATTAACGTATCAACGCACACGTGTCCATATATACTACGTCTCTCTTTTTTAATCAGTGATAAATACTACGTCTCTTCATCCCTATCATTAATCCCACACAGTCGCAAAACACGCACAAAAAACACACACACAAAACCCTAGTAACCAACAATTGTGGAGAGCTAACAGAACTCGCAACAATGGCGAAGCTAAGCGACGATCTCATTCTCAGAATCATCTCCCGATTACCTCTAAAATCCGCCGTCCGGTGCAAACTCCTCAGCAAGAATTACAACGTAATCATCTCCACCGCAAAATTCGGCCGTCTCCACGCCCTCCGGTCGTCCAATCCGACCGTATTCCACTGCCCGGCCGTAAATTCCAGATCCTTCACCAGAATCGACCCGTTATCCGGGTCGGATCCGATATCCACGGCCCTACCCATCGGGATCTCAATCCTTGCCTCCTGCAACGGCGTCCTCCTCGCCCGGATCGACTGCTACAACGAGTACCACGTATTGAACCCCATCACCGGCGGAGCGACGGTCGTCGACCACCGCATCGGCCGCTCCCAGGACATAGCCCTGGCCGTTGACTTGGTCAACCCTATCTCGCTGAGCAGTAAATTTCAGTTCAAATTGGTGACATTTGATGTAAACCCTAACCCTACAAGGTACTGGAGCACCCTGAGATTCGCCGTGGTCGTCCACTCCGGCGCCCCCATCCCCGCCGGATATCCCGCCACGGTGGTGAAACCGGAGGTGGTTTTCAAGTGCAAGAACTTCGCCCGTATGGCCGACCGGAGTATCCGGCCGGTATACGCACACGGTTGCGTCCACTGGCTCGGAGACGACGCGGAAAGCATTGTTTCCTTCAATGTCGTAAAGGAGAAACCGAGAATCACGGACGGGCCGTTAAAGAACGGATCCTTAAATAAAGACGCCGCCGCCGGTGGCGGAGGCGGCAAATGGTTCGGAGTTGCTCAAGGCTCACTCCAATTCGTTCACGGCTCACCGGAAGTAATCGTGGTTTATAAACACGATTACGCCAACGACAGGTGGCGTGTGTCTCACAAGATTGGTAATATATATAATCCTCGGGCCGTGATTAATAATCATGGAACCCCGGTGTTATTCGACGGGCAACGATTGTTTGTCCGACTCGGAAAAAGGATTTACGTGCATTGTAGTGGTAAGTGGGAGAAGAAGGGAAAAGTGGGGTGTGGCGACGAAGTTTTTTTCGAGTTTATTCCGACCTTGGCTAGCGTTTCGAACGAGCATTGGAAGAGATTTCAATGGGCAAATGTTAGTTTCTATGCAATGCAAAGTGTTCTTAGGTGTTCTAATTAATCCTAATTAGTATCAACATGTTTTTAATTGTTGTATACTTGTGTATGTAGATTAGATACATTTTTATTCATGAATGAATTAATATATTGATTATGCAGCAAGGTATTTCGCCTTTTGGTGCAAGCAATTTGCCATGTTTCTAATTTTTTTGCGAATAAATAAAATTTATTTACTTTTGATACCTGAAGGGTTTCAATTTTACCTAAAGAAAGTTATGTTGAAATTTCTACCGAAATAAATTTAAGACACCATTAAAATAACTTACTTTACTATTCTTTGTTGATTCCATATTCAAGTAAAAGAAAATATAAAAAGAACGTTCAACAAAGCATGATACAAATTAAAAATGATAATATAAAGCTAATATAATTTAAGATATTGGATGAAAAACAACATCGGTCCAAATTCACTTTCGCAATCGTCCAAAACAAATAATAATTAACTCATCATCGCGGAATATCTCTGGGCAAACACGCGGCAGAGGATCTCGTCTTCGAGATCATCAAACTACTATCCGAGTTTCGCGCGCAAACACGCGCTCCTATCATCCGAGTCGGCTTCGGCGGCGCCATCCTCCGGCCGGATTATCATCTTCCACTGCTCGGCCTTCCAGGCCATGCTTTTCACCGTACTCAATTCTCCGGCGGCGTCGGCTTCCATAAACGTGGCAGCCGAGGCTTCGATCATGGCATCGTGCAACGGGGTCTTTCTCCTCCGTCTGAAACCCTCCCACTATTTCGTCCTCAACCCGCTCACCGGCGGAAACATGTTTCTCGGTTACAACATTCCAAGCCAGCACGCTAGCGTCGGCCTCGCAGTCGACTTTCCGGCGGCGGACCCGTCCTCCTCCCCCTCCTTCAAGGTAGTGATCGCCGAACACCGCGGAACGGTTATGCGTTTCACGGTGGCTGTCCCCTCCGGGGGCGAGATGGTCGAATCGGCGGTTGAGTTTAATTGCACGAGCGCGCAATTCACATGCGCGCACGACGACGTAAGCCTCCGGCCAGTTTACGCCCACGAGCGAGAATCATAAACGGGCCAATCCGAAAACACAAACCCCACGGGTTCCACAAACGGGTCGACAAGTGGTTCGGGTTGGCGAAGGGGTCGCTCCACTTCGTGTACGTACTGCCGGAAGAGATCGTGGTGCACACGCACGACCACCGTAAGGGCAAGTGGAGGCTAGCGCACAGGATCCCGAACATGTGCGAGCGCGAGAAGAACAACGTGCTGAGGGACGGGGTGCCGGTGTACTTCGACGGGGAGCAGGTGTTCCTACACCTGAGGGTGATGGTTGACGGAGGGGGTGTTTGGATGTATAATTTGAAAAGCCGGGAATGGACAGAAACTGGCGGGAAAGTGGGAGGGTGGGCGGATTGGAATCAGAATTTCTATGGGTATGTACCTACATTGGCAAACGTGTCTTATGGGAAAGATGCGCAAAAAAGATCTTCGCCTCTATAGTGAGTTCAAACAGACCTTCCTCGGACTGCAGCAACTCCTTAGGTAAGCAGGTAGGTTACATTGTTGTCGGAATCGGACCGGACATAAAACCAGGTTACGATTCGACCAGTTCAATCGGGGTCAACCCGGGTCTATAGTTTTCTATATTTTACTCAGTCCATACTTTTTTTATTTACTTTATTAATTCAATCTCTTGTTTTTAATTCGATCATTTAAAAAAAAAAAAAAAAAAAGTTTCACTTCCGTTTTGCTTCTTCTTCTTCTTCTCTATTCACTCTCACGGACTTCTCCATCCACCCGTTTTTACAAACGGATAGGTGTGGTGTGTTTTTCGTTATTTAGCCTAAATTTAGGGAAGTTTTTCGTAATTTACTCTAAAAAGTAATATGAAATACTATTTTAATTATCTATAAATATATATTTATTATAGCATATTTGTGTGAATAGTTTCTCAAAAGAAATAATTTAATATACTTGAATTTTATATTCAAATTCATTTGTATTTAATTATGAAGCAAGAAAACATTGCGTAAATTAAAATACTAATGAATAATACAACTACAAGAAAAGGCTGTGGGTTTTTTCGTAATATTCAGAATTAATCTATGTTGATCCGCTAATTAAATAAGTTGCTATACAGAATCACTCTTCTTATCTAACGCTTTTCTTACAAAAACGCTCTGCACAAGCAAACACGCTTTCGCTCTTGCACTCGCCCCCTGTGCAAATTTTTATCACGCGCGTGCAGTTCGAGTAACACTCCGTTATGCAATATGCGTCGGAGTTTTTCTCCTCCGCTTCCACCACCGCCATCAGCGCCGCCGCCGCCACGGAAATCGCGATTGCAGCAACTACAGTAATCCAACTTCTTTTTCTTGCCATTTTTTCTTCTTCTTCCTTTTTTTTGATAAATGCAAAGGCGAAATAAAGCTTTTGACTTTAGTCTGTTGGAGGGCACTTATACTTATTTCTTATAGGCTGTTTTTTTTAGTGAATGGTTACAACATTTGATTTCAAGTTGGTGCCTTTTTTTCTTTTGCCGAACGGGTGTGAGAATTAAGGTTGTCCAATTCTGAATCGGTGCTTCGTATTTGAAACTAGTTACAAGTGAATAACAATATTTTATTTTATATTATAAATGACTAATAAAAAACTCTAAATTCTGCAAATCCTAATAAGAAATTTCCAATTTTGGAACAATTTTTTCGATTTAATTCCTATTTTTTACAAAGTTTTTTCTTGGAACGGAATTGAAATTAACTTTTCGCTGCCGTAAAAAAATTGTAGTTTTTTTTTTCCTGAAATTACCAATTCCGATTCACAGTAGTTTGCAATCTAGTTGAATTCCCACTTCAAATTGAACTTGTCACAAATTTTCACGAACATTATCCAGGTACTTATTTAAAGTCGAAAACCCGAATTTGAACAGTAAAGATTATCGTCTGGATTAAGTGGCAATACATAAAAGATTGTCTAACTGCTGAAAATCAAGAACCTTAAATGAGAGCTTCAATGTCATCTGAACTCACTGCCGCTCCATTTGGTGCTTCGTCCGATCGCAACTGATTGGACACATTATCAATAGCAGAATTGAGCTGTTCGATTTTCTCCGCCAGTTTCTTGCGTTGCTTCTGTTAGTAGTTATGCAGCAAGAAATATTAATCAAAATATTTTCTCTTCGATATCAATTAACACAATCCATAACTACGAAAAAAAATGTCGATAAATATGTGTACCTCTAAAGCCTTTTCTTCGTCGTAGATAAATTTGGGCAGCTTTTTCATGAGATCCTTTTTGTCGGCTCCAGTTAAAGCCTTGCTTATCTGTTCATTGAATAGCAAGAAAAATCAGACAAAAAACGTCGTTTTATAATAGGATAAAACTGCATGCCGGAGGTTTTTATTTTTTTATATCACCTGAGGAGCATAAACACAACCGAGTGTGCCGACGATTAATCCACCTAAAACAAAGCCACCGACAAAGATGCCCGTGCTGCCTGATGATCTTCCACCATCACTGCCATCGAAATATCAAATGCATAAATACACGAGATATCAACTAAGTGTTTGTGAAAGAGAAAAAGTCGAAAGTATTTTCTTGATTATTTAAACCTTTTGCTTAGAAACCGCATTCTATTTAAATCCTCATTTCAAATTCAACGCAGCTCGTATTTATCCAAGATTAGAAACTAACTCGTATAGAGAACTGCAGAATATATACTTATATATCTAGGTTTGAACCGTACATTTGTAGCTCTGTTTTCCGAACATATTATAGCATGTCCACGTTGCATTCAATAAAATCGGAAGTACCTATAACTTGCTTGAATGGTGAGAGCTCTCCTCTGGGCCGATGATCTCGTGCCCTTTGAACTGAAGGCCAGTTTGGTTGACACCACATCTTGCGCTGACTTGAAAGAAGAGCCTACACCCAAACGGAAAATGATATTCTTTTCATCGCATATTTGAAATGAGAATCGTTAAGGGGCAATCACTAAGCAATTTTGAATTGAGAATGCGTTTCTGACGTGTAGGTCATCAGCAAAAGAAGTTGTTTCCGTATTCGTAATAATCTCTCATAGAGACACAGATACAGTACAGCTAAATGCACCGAAGACAGAAGACAGTGATCTTATGTATTTTACTAACAAACGCATTTTCCTTTCCAGTACTTAGAGAGAAATAATTTTATATTGAGTTTTTGGAAATTCACAGATCTGCGTTTCTGAAACTCGAGAATATATAAATTCCATACAAGACCTTGTTTTGAGCTTACATACTCTATAGCTTGCTTAATAAATTTTACTGTGAATGCAATTAGATGTTCATCCACAAAATAGGCCTGCATATAGCAGAATCCCATTCAGACAATTCATCGAACACCATGTGAACGGGCTGTAAACCACACAATAAGTTCAGACAACTCATGTACAGCAATTCATCACAGTTAGAAAATGAGAAAAAAAAAGCTCTGATTCTTCTTATATACAAATGCGTTTCAATAAACCCCAATTTCAATTGTCAGGGATATAGTCTAGCGAGTTGAAGAAGCAAGAAATTAAACCTAAAATGGGCATTTAAGCAAATCATCAGATTCGATGAAAATATTACCAGAAGAAAAATGGGTTGTGGGGCTCCTTGGAATCACAACGGTCTTGCACAGAGCCGTCATCCTGCAGAGATTTCAGAGAGAGAGAAAAATGGTGGATTGAACAAGTGCGAGAAATTCGAGAAGAAAAAAACACAGTGAGTGTGCGAAACAACGTAAATCTTGTTTTCGTATTTTCTCTCTCTTCTTGTGTCGATGAAATCGAAGAAGCCAAGCGGCAAACACGCGTTTTATCCTTTTCTGTTTTTATCTCTGTTTTGTTTCCTTTATACTCGTTTTCTCAAAACGCGACTTCAATACATTATAAAATGGGAAATTACAGTTTTCACCCCTCAAGTTTGCTTCGATTTTATATTTGGTCCTCACTGTTAACAAAAAACACATTTGGTCATTCATGTTCCAATAATTTAACCCTTTTGGTCATTTTCGTCAATTTACCGTCAGTCCGTTAGCTAAGACCACGTGATAGGCACACGCCTGATTCCATTAGTTTTAACGAAAAATTGACAGAAATGACCAAATATTTTTTTTGTGAACATGGAGGACCAAATGTGAAATCAGTACAAACTTAAGGGATACAAACTGTATTTTTCCTATTATAAAATCCATTACTTTCACATTTAAAATTTGAGTTGTATTATCCAAAATTTAGTTTTTATCTAAAATTTTAATTAATTTTGTTCCAAGTCAAATTTCTACATATTTTCGAATTCCGCCAATTCCGATCCGAAAATATCCCAATAGAACATTCCGATTCCCGATTTTTCCGAATATTCTATTGTATTGTACAATGGAGTTGTGAAAGGTATTGTAACTAAAGTATATATACTATATCGTTATATTTTCATTCTCCAATTTGTCACATTAATTAATTAATATATACATACAACATATATATACAGACGGCCGGCTAGTATATTCTTGACTCACAAGTGATCACTATTTTTACTCTTGTTCCGCTCAAGACAAAAGTCTTTGATTAATTTCATCATAATTAATCAACATAGTAACAACAATGTAGTAAATGACAAGATTTAATTCCCAGACCAAGTCAATCTTTCTTAATACTACGTTATAATTATTGCACCATTAATTAGCATTAATTAATCACTTCTTCATCTAATTAATTTTATCTATCTATCTATCTAACCATGGCTGGTGGTGCAAGTTCAGGAGAGAGGTCCCTAGAGCAAACCTCGACATGGGCAGTTGCGATCGTCTGTGCCGTTTTCGTAATTATTTCCGTTGCCATCGAGCACGGAATCGAATCACTTGCTAAGTGGTTCAAGAAACGCGATAAGAAGTCCATGATTGAAGCCCTCGAAAAGATCAAAGCAGGTTACAAATTTTTTTTTTGTTTTGTTTTATGATCATCATTCTTTTTTTTTTTACTAATTAATTTTTTTTTTTTTAATTTAGAATTGATGCTGCTGGGATTTATTTCGTTACTTCTTACCGTTGGTACGACGTACATCGCAAAAATATGCGTGCCTGAAAAGCTTGGGAATAAATGGCTTCCATGCGATAAGGAAGTGGAAAACGACGATGAGGGGCAAAATGGGAAGAGAAAATTGATATCGTACGATGACGATCGAATGGTGTGGCGTAGATCTTTGGCTGCTGGTACTGATAATTATGACTACTGTGGTGCAAAAGTATATTTTCATGAATTTTTTATTTATTTTTTTTAAATTTTGGTGTATTTATAAATTTATTTTTTTGATTTAATTTGGTTGGAATAAAATAAGCAGGGGAAAGTGTCATTGATTTCATATTCAGGAGTTCACCAGCTTCACATATTCATATTTGTGCTGGCAGTTATGCATGTTTTTTACAGTGTTACTCTCATGGTATTAGGGAACGCCAAGGTAATTAATTTAATTAAATTTTTTTTTTTTTAATTTAATTCAAAACAAATTATTTCGAACAAAAAAAATCAATATTGAATATTGATGTTAATTACTCAGATGAAGAAGTGGAAGGCCTGGGAATTGGAAACCACCTCCTTGGAATATGAATTTACAAACGGTAATTTTTTTTTTAACTACTCTTTTTTCGTATAAATAAAAAATAAAATGAAATAAAAAATATTTGTTTGAGATTTAAAAAAGTTTAATTGATTTATTTAACAGATCCAGCTAGATTTAGGTTCGCTCATCAAACCTCCTTCGTCAGGCGTCACACTGGAATCTACAACACTCCTGTGCTTAAATGGATTGTAAGACAATATTATTATTATTATTATTTATTATAATTATTATTATTTATTTAGCATAACTTATTTGTTATATTTTATTTAAATTACGTATATGGAACAGGTAGCATTTTTCAGGCAATTTTTCGGGTCTATTTCTAAGGTGGATTATATAGCCATCCGCAATGGATTTATTAACGTAAGTTTCCCCGCCGTAGGCGCGGTTGGCTAAGCTTATTTAAACATTTGTTAAGCTCTTAATTAGATAAGTTGTTTAAGAATTACTAAGTTGTTACAAATTTTTTTTAGAATTAAAATTTTAAATTGTTTGAATAATGATTATATAAACTATTTTTACTGATTATAAGATCATATATATGTAAGCTATCCGACATCTTATTTTTTGAATTTTTAAGATCTTTTAAAGAAAATTACCAAATAGAGTTTATATTATATTAAAATCTCCTCTCTTTCAGATAAAAATAAATAAAAAATAATTATATTATATTAAAATCATCTCAAATGGGCCTTTTAACAACATGCAGGCCCATTTGGCTCCAAATACTAAATTTGACTTCCACAAATACATAAAAAGATCCATGGAGGATGATTACAAGTCTGTATTGGGGATAAGGTATGCGTAATTAATTAATTAATAATTATTTTTTATATTTTTCTAATTTTATATTTCTATAAATTAATAATAATAAATTAATATATTTATTATTTTATGTGTATTGTTATGCAGTATTCCCTTGTGGTTCTTTGCTATAATGTTTTTATTCCTCAACATTTACAGTAAGTATTTCTTTCACTAAAATAAAATAATAATAAATAAATAAAAAGCAGTCATGTTTAAATTTGAATATTTAATAATTTATTAAATTTAATAATTCAATTATGCAGGATGGCACACACTGGCATGGATTACATTGATTCCAGTAATTGTAAGTCCATTCTATAAAATCACATAAATAAAAAATGCACCAGTAAAAGAATATATTAAATATAAACTATTTTGGTGGTTAGATAATAGTGTTGGTGGGCACCAAACTAGAACTGGTGATCGTTGAGATGGCTCAACAAATTCAAGATCGGACGGCTGTGGTGAGAGGGGCTCCACTTGTGGAGCCCACCAACAACTTCTTTTGGTTCAATCGGCCGCAGTGGATTCTTTTCCTCATACATTTTACCCTATTTCAGGTTCGGGCCTTTCTCTTATTTTTAATTTGAGCTTTTTTATGTAAGGGCCCATTTGATACATGGCATTAATTTCTTTTATTTTACTTGCAGAATGCATACCAAATGGCCTACTTTTTGTGGAAATGGGTAATTCATGATCCTAAATACAATTTATAATTATTAATTTAATAATATTTTATAATTAATTAATCAATTTATTATTAATTTATTTATTGCAGTATGAGTTTGGAATTACAACATGCTTCCATGAGAAACTTCATATAGTTTTGGTTAGAGTATTTTTAGGAGTGGCCCTCCAAATCTTGTGCAGTTATATTACATTCCCACTCTATGCCTTGGTAACACAGGTAATGTATGTGTGTGTGTGTGTTTATATACATATCACTTAAACATAGGGGTAAAATTGGAACAAATTAAAAAAAAAATCGTCGATCTCAATCTGAACTCTTTTTTTTTTTTACATAATATTTTCATTTCAAATTCCAATTTTCGTCAGTTCGAACTTGTTTTACTTTATAAAAAATAATATTTTTTCAAGAAAGTGCTAGCTGCAATTCGACCCATCCGATTTTCACTCATAAAATCGTTGTTTTTATGCATATTATAACATAAATGTGTGAGTTTTTGTGTGTAGACGAACGGCGCATCGTTAAATACTTATTAAAATCAGTAAATTTAAAGCATAATTAATTAATTATGTGGTTAATATATATAAATATAGATGGGTTCACATATGAAGAAATCAATATTTGAGGAACAAACTGCAAAAGCCCTAAAGAAATGGCACCAAGCTGCAAAGCAAAGGAAGAAACTGCGCAAAGTCGATGCTTCTTACACGAGTGGGGATACAACTCCGTCTCGAGCAACCTCCCCACTTCACTTGCTCCACCACCACAACCGCCGCTCCTCCACTGCTCCGGCGACGGATTCCGAGAGCTTGGCCGACCTCTCTCCGGCCAGGTCTTACATATCCGACACGGAGCTTTCCGAACTCGAGTCTAATTCGAATCGAGGCAAACATGGACCGACAGCTTCGTCAGTACTTGACAATCATCTGATGCAAATGAATACGGATTCTCATAACGTCGACTTTTCTTTCGTAAAATCATCCGATCAACATTGATTATCGATCGGTTGTTTAGTACGATATTTTTTTTTTTATCATAATGTAGTTTATATATGTATGATATTTTCATCGAATGTTGATGTTGTAATTTATAGAATAACAATATTAAATACTCTTTGGTTCAATTCAGAAATTTGGCCTTTTAATGTGAAGAAATATTAAATTTACATTTTACTAATTATCACCACAAAATAGCAAAAATATTAAAAAAAAATCAATAAATTAATTGAAATTCAAATTTTAACATTTTGTACTTAGATTTTTTTTCACCGGGTAAATTAAATTAAATGATGTTATTAATAGTTCATTTAAAATAAATAAATTAGTGTAATTATTTTTTAAATCTGGTGTATGTACAAAATTGACTTTTTACTCTGTTATATTTAGCCAAAAATACTACCTACTCCATTGTGCCGACCCCGCCCACGGCCGCCGCCACCGCCGCCGCCGCCGCGACCGTTTTCCCTCACTACCACCTCTTTAGAAAAACCTTTTGCTCTTCTTCAGCGGCGGAATTTCTTAGATCGAGTCAGAGAAAAAAAAAAAAATCGGAACTGGAAATTGTAATCATGGCGGAGTTTTTCCTACCAACGGAGGTTTCAGATATGGATTATAACTCGGTGGTTGTCAAGCTTTCGGATTCATAAGCTCATAAAAACCCTATCTCTTCGTACAAATTCAATTCGATTTTAAAAAAATGCCAATTTCCGCCTCAGCCATTCGGCATTCTTCCCTGTTAATAGCTGCTAAAAACCCTAATTATTCACTCAAAAAATACCTCCTTTTCAGCACTTGTTCTTCGATCGCAGCCGAGCAATTTCTGATTCATTTGGGGAAAGATCAAACGCACGTCGAGAAAACCCTCAACACAGTGAAAGCCAAGCTGGATTCCCTCTGCGTGGCACAAGTGGTAGAAAGGTGCGCTATCGATAAACCTCAATTAGGTATCAGGTTCTTCATTTGGGCTGGCCTTCACCCCAACCACAGGCACACTTCATACATGTACAACAAAGCTTGTAAATTGCTCGATGTCGAGCAGAACCCCCGAATTATCGTCGATGTCATTGATGGATATATGGCTGAAGGTTTTGTTGTTAGCATCAAAATGTTTAAGGTTGTTTTGAATTTGTGTAGAGCAGCGAAAGACGCGAAATTGGGATTATTGGTTTTGAGGAAAATGAAGGAATTTAACTGCAGGCCCGATACGGTGTCGTACAATCTTGTAATTAGGTTGCTTGTGGAGAAGAGTCAGTTAGACGAGGCTTTGGGATTGATGAGGGAGATGGGTTTAATCGATCTTTATCCTGATATGGTTACCTACGTTTCGATTATTAAAGGGTTTTGTGATGCAGGGAGATTGGAGGATGCTTTTGGATTGATTAAGCTTATGAAAGGGCACGGCTGTGTGGCGAATGCTGTTGTCTACTCGACAATTCTTGATGGGATTTGTACTCACGGGAATTTGGATATGGCGTCGGAGCTTTTATGTGGGATGGAGAAAGAAGACGGAGATTGCAAGCCGAATGTTGTAACGTACACAACGATGATAAAGGGCTTTGTCGAAAAGGGGAGGGCGAAGGAGGCGTTAAAGATCTTGGATCGAATGGATGAGTCAAGAATCAAACCGAATATAGTGACGTTTGCCGCAATTCTCGACGGGCTCTGCAAACAAGGGCATGTGGAGGAGGCTTGTGGGGTGGTTAATAGATTTAGTGAAGGTGGTGGAGGAGTTGAGAATGATGAGCTGTATAGTTTGCTTGTGATGTCACTAATGCGAGCTGGCAAGAAAAACGAGTCGGAGAATATTTTTAGTAAGATGATGGCTCGTGGAATGAGACCTAATGGTTTGGCGTCGAGTAATATTATTAGAACGATGGTTTTGGAGGGAAGGGTGATGGATGGGTTTCGTGTGTTTGATGCGCTTCAGAAGTCAGGAAATTTGGTAGCTGTTCATTCGGATGTTTACTCGAATTTATTGGCAGGGCTTTGTGAAGAGAATTGTTTCGTAGAAGCTGCGAGGATTGTTAGCGTTATGGTAGAGGGGAGAATTCGCCTGAAATCTACCTGCGCCGAGAATATAATCGAACGTCTTAATGTTTGTGGAGAGTGTGATCTGGCTAATGAAGTGGCTAGTATTAATAGGTAATTTGCGGGTGGCTACAATGTGGTCGTAACTCGTATGTATTGAACGTTTTACGATATTGATTTATACGGTGAAAGGGGTTTCCGAATTGAGATGATTTGTGCAAGAAATAAATACGGATCGTTTCTTGATCTTTTTGTTCTGTTGGTCGATATTCGTGTTTGCTAGGTTCGATTTCTTCGCATTTGTTACACTGTTGAGATAGTTTTGACCCTTGAAATTTGTTGACTTCTTACTTTGCTTTGTTTCATTGATTCATGTTAATTTTCACAGTTTTGAGATAGTTATTCAAGTGAATTTGAAATGCAGGAGTTATCTTCATAATTTTTTATTTATTTAAAAAAAAAATAAAAATTAATAAGATAATAATAGGTCAAACTCTTGAGAAGGCAAAATATTCTATTTTTAGCAAGTGACGAAGAAAAAAGAGGAAAGTCCTTTTACCTTAGCCGGAAAACCATCCAACCAAAACACGACACGTGTCCCGAAAATCTGCCGCGGTTTTCAACGGCCGTCCTCTCAAAACCGCAAAAGGCAATTAAATCCTACCGGTCAATTACTTAATCCGACGGCTGGGAAGCAATTGCAGTCTCCCATCTACCAACTAACCAACCAATACACGTCACGTGTCGGTAAAGTACATCTATTTTACCTACAATCGCCGGTCGAAACCAACCGCATCACAATTTTTCCTTCCCAAACAAATTTACTACCTCTGTTTTTATTCTCTTCTTTTTCCTGTTTCAAAAGGGATTTTCTGCAAAAAAATAAAAAAAATTCGTATTTTGTATAGTGAGATAAAACAAAGAGGGATCATCCGAAGCTGCGCATTTAATCATAAACTGCTTCTATTTTCATTTTATTCTGTATTTTTTTTGTAATTTTTTGTTTAATTGCATCCATTGGTTCCTGAATTTTGGCTTTGGGGGAATCTTCTGAGCTTCGTGGAATCTAATAATTTTGGTATCATGGATTTGATCTAGGGTTAGGGCTAGTTTTGCAGAGTCGGATGTTTTTAATTGATTGGAATTTCATCCTGCTGGAGAATTGAGGGATTTTTTTTTTGAATTTTTTTAGTGTTGGTAAGGAATAAAAGGGTTCTTATTGATTATAGGTATTTTTTTTTAGCAATTTATAGCAGTTAATTGATATTTGATCAAGCCGAATATTCGAATTTCGGAATTTATCGTTGAGGTTTCATTTTAGTGGTTGATCTTTGTTGAAGAAACTTAGGGTTGATGCTTTTGTAAAACTAAGTATGGCTACTGCTACCGATTTTTCGCATCCGTTCGCTAATAATGTAGAATGTGGATTTGGCAACGATAGAAGCGATCTTACTCTTGTGAAAGACGAAATATCCGAAAATTCGGAGGAATCGAAACAGACGGTGAACGGTAAACCGCCACGTCATATTTCGGTCGTACGGCATTCTATCAGCACCACTTCGTTCCTGTCGCCCTCGGAACTGGTGAGTTAGATTCTTCTCCGTGTAATAATTCTTTCAGTTTTATCGAGTAATTACATGATTGCCACTTGATCTTAGATTGTGTTTTTCAATGCTGAGTTGAAGTTATTATTTTTTCTTTATTTATGGTATATATTTATGCTTTGAAGGATTCGTGTGTTGGCATCACTGGAATTAAGTCGCCGACGGATTTATTATCGAACTATATACCTGTTTTTCGATCCGGAAGCTGTGCTGAAAAAGGACCGAAACCATACATGGAAGACGAACATATCTGCATCGATAATTTGACTCAACATTTAGGCGATATTGCCAATGCCAATTTCCCGACACACGGAGCTTTCTATGGGGTACGTAATTTTGATCCCGTTAATATATTCTTCGCCGAATAATTAATTAATTACGTATCGTTTATTTTTTCATATGATCGATGTTTGCTTTACTGATTCATGCTGTATGTTAAGCAGGTGTTCGATGGTCATGGAGGTTCCGACGCAGCATATTTCATCAGAAACAACATCCTCAAATTCATAATCGAGAACTCGTTTTTCCCCAATTGTTTGGAAAAAGCAATCAAGAATGCATTTCAAAAGGCCGACTACGCATTCGCCGACGACAGCTCACTCGACATATCTTCCGGAACAACCGCCTTAACCGCTTTCCTATCCGGAAGGTATTTGAATAACCGAAATATAAATATTAAATATGAATGATTACTGTCTTAATACGATTCTTAATCTCTGCAGAAAAATGGTAGTGGCAAATGCTGGAGACTGCAGAGCGGTGCTCGGTAAACGAGGCAAAGCAGTCGAACTATCGAAAGACCACAAACCTAACTACACATCGGAAAACTCAGAATCGAAAAACTAGGAGGAGCGATATATGACGGGTACCTACACGCGACAGCATGTCGCTTTCGCGTGCTTTAGGTGACTGGCATATGAAAGGGTCGTAAGGGTCGGCTTGCCCTCTAAGCGCGGAGCCGGAATTGCAGGAGACTTTTTTAACGGAGGATGACGAGTTCTTGATTATAGGGTGCGACGCTTTATGGGATGTTATGAGTAGCCAATGCGCCGTCACTATGGCTAGGAAAGAATTGATGCTACATAACGACCCGGAAAGATGCTCGAGGGAACTCGTTAGAGAGGCGCTTAAGAGAATACGTGCGACAATTTAACCGTTTTGGTTATTTGTTTCTCGATGGACCCTCCGCCTCGGATTGAGATTGCTCCGAGCAGGGTTCGGAGGAGTATTTCTGCCGAAGGGCTTAATCTTCTTAAAGGTGTTTTGGAAGGTAATTAGTGAGGAGGTTTTTTCGTTAAGTGTTGTATCGATTTTTCGATGAATTTTATGTGTTAGTTTTTTTTTTTTTTTTTTTTTTTTTTACATTTTATTAATATGTTGAGGATGATTTTATGGTTATGTGTATAGAGCATTAGCTGTATACATTTTTTCTTGCTTGATTAATCCTGTCATTGTATGCAAAGGGTAAAATTGGGAAAACAAAGTATTATTTTTAATTAAAATCATAATTTTATTGATAAAACGATAATGATTTTGTAATTGATATGGATGTTTCATTGGAAATACTAAAACAATAGAGCCAAAAATTTGGTGAAAAGAATTGAAGTCGCCATCTATAAATAAATTACACTAAATTAAGCACTAAGAACAAGTCATTAAATGGACCCATCTTCTACCTACCTAATTCACCAATTTAAATATTCATCGTGTTCGTATTTTATTTATTTATTATTTATTATTTCTAAGGAGAATAGGGCCTCTTCTAACATGTTCGCAGTTAAAGCCATAAAATACCTTTAATTATGGTGCCATGAATTCCAGATTTTTTCTAATCGAATATGTCAGGAAAAAAAATTATAAATGACATAATTTTGCAAATAAATACCATTTTTTTAATTAATATTATTATTATAATATGCAGAAAAATGGGTAGAGATTAGGGGAAATGATGGAACAAATGTGAAATGATGATCAACATAAAAGGAAAAGCTAATGTGGGACTATCAAATTTAATGATTTCATCCACAAACATATAAAAGTGGAAACTATAAAACAAATTCAACAAATAAAAAAGAAAAACATAGAAAAACAAAAAGGGCAGAGAGAGAAATATATACATATCTTAAAAAAAAAAAAGAAATATATACATAATACATATATGATATATATATCACTGAAGAATTCAAGAAAAGGAAAGGTTGGTCGTGTCATCACTTCACTTTCTTTAACCCAAAAAAAAAAAAAGGAAAGAAAGAAAGAATTCCCGACCAAATGTAAAGGAAAGAAACAAAAGATAATGCCCATCATGTAATTAAATTTATTCCCAAGGCATATAATTTTTCTTTTTTTTATTCGTTTGTTCGGTTTTCCATGTTCACACCACAACCATTGGTTGATTTTAATATGTGAAGAAGGTTTAAGATTTGATTTTTATATGCAGATTGCATCTCCTTGTATTTTCTGGAGTGATTTCTCAGATGGGCTCTCTCTATTTACCTCTGGTTAGTGATTTTGCAGCTGTAAATGGTTTGGTTTCTGTTTCTGCCTTTCCATTTGTCTTGCATATATATATGTATGTATGTATATGTATATGTATATGTTGTTCTTACATGTTTAGCGCATTCTTGAATTTGATCAGGGTTTTGTCGGATTGGTAGATCTGTTGTCTGATTTCTTGATTGATTGTGTGTGTGTGTGTGTGTGTGTGTGTGTGTGTTTACTCTAGAGTGGGTAAAAGCTTGAACATTTTATCATTGCAAAATCAAAGCTTACTCGCATCAATTGGTAGATCTATTATGCTCCAACACTTCCATATAAAGATGTTTACTGAAAAATGATATGCAGATGAACCCTAAA